GTCTGTTTCGTCATCCGGGGTCGTCCGGACGAGTTCGCCGACGGGCGAGTCAATTCAAGTCAAAGTCGTGTGTGATGCAGTGAGTGTGTGAAGTGCGTCGTTAGCGAGTAATCGAGTCACAAAGGGTTCACCTAAGGCTGTTTGATCCTATAGGAACTCATTTTCGGGCCCTCTGCATGTTGATCCTTAGCCCTTGCAACTAGAAGTTGAGTGCTTGGAAACACTCATGCGAGTTCTTCACAAAAATGAGTCAAGAAGTGGCTTAAAGTTCTACGGGAGGTGGGTTCCATTGCTAGTCCGCTAGGATAGTCAACAAGGAACTCCTAAGGCTAGATTATGGGTTCTGAGAGTAAGAGACTAAGACCTCACTAAAATGAGGTCAACAGGCAAGTCCTACGTAAACCAACTAAAGCGGTTTGGGTTTCAATGCAGCCGTGGATTGGAAAGGACCCCTATGGGTTAGGCTGGCTAGGAATTTCCTAACCCAAACTAATTTGCTTATCCACCAACTTTTGGCCCATAATCACAGTAATGATCTTATGGATGAACTGAAAAAAGACTGATTCCACTGCCTCAAACATTCTGCGGGATGGTGCAAAATGCTTGAACAAGATTATCCGATGGGAAGTTTTGAATGGGGAGCGCATTAACACTCTGTCACAGAAATGGATTCTGGATAGACAATTGGATCAATGACCCACTTTTGTTAGCATAGAAATTGATAAGCAATCCAAGGTTTCAGATCTGATTACCCATAATACACGGAATATTGAGAAACTCCAGCAGCTTTTTGGGTTGGAGCTTTGCAAAATTATTCTCAACATCCCTTTGCTAAGGGACCAACTGAAAGACATTTCCGAATTGTGCAAGCAGCTCTCCGGTAATACTATTATAGTTAATGCATATCAGGTGGAATTCGGTCATCTTCGGGCTACACGTGTGGCTTGAGAGACTTAAACTTCGGCCCAGAGAGAATATTTTGGTGGTGACTCAGCCTTGACGCCATTCCTACTAATGATTGATTGGCCTTGCGTGGCCTATCCGAATAGCATCAATGCCCATGGGGATGTGAAGGTGTGGAAAACACTAACCATGTTATTATTAGCTGCTCGTTCTTAATGGCTGTGCTGGATAAACTTCGGGCTTGGGGTTTCAACATCTCCATTTATCATAGCTTTGAGAAAGTTATTGCCAACTTTCAAAGCATCACTAGCAGGCGTATTCCTTTGGCAAGGCTCTACTGTAATGTGGTTTACCTCTGTTGGCAGGTGACGAACACCAAAAAGCACGCTAAACCCCATGGCACTCCGACAGCGGTTGCTTCCAACCTTCTCTGAGTTCTATCCGACCCTCACTTTCCTTGTGTGGCTTATCCGAATTGCATCAGCGCCCATGGAGCTGTGAAGGTGTGGATAACACTAACCATGTTATTATTAACTGCTCATTCTTAATGGCTGTGCTGGATAAACTTCTGGCTTGGGGTTTCAACATCCCCATTTATCATAGCTTTGAGAAAGTTATTGCCAACTTTCAAAGCATCACTAGCAGGCGTGTTCCTTTGGCAAGGCTCTACTGTAATGCGGTTTACCTCTGTTGACAGGTGTGCCAACTTTCAAAGCATCACTAGCAGGCGTGTTCCAACACCTGTCAACAGAGGTAAACCGCATTACAGTAGAATTGCGAAAAAGCACGCTAAACCCCACGGGACTCCGACAACACTTGCTTCCAACCTTCTCTAAGTTCCATCCGACCCTCATTTTCCTTCACTACGTGAGCAATGGGTGTTAATCAGCCAGGGTGAATCAAATTAAATGTTGATGGAACCCTTCTTCCTTCTAACCTTGCTGCGGTTGGTATCATTATACGAGATGAGATGGGGCACCTTATTACTGTGGTGGGACACAAGTTCACACATTGCGACAACTCCTATGTGGAAATGAAGGGTATCTTATCCGGCCAGGGACTTCTTGAGGAATGGATGTTTGAAGGCAAGGGTTTTATCATTGAAGGATATAATTCAAAATTTATCAACCTTTTCAAAGATACTATACGATGAGCAAGAAGGCAAGGCAGCTCCAATTTCCCGATAATCCCAACATTGGTTTCTTGCTTCGATTTAAGCAAATTTTGTTCCTTCATATAGACAGGGATAGCAATATAGCAGCCCATACTTGAGCAAAAATAGCTTTAGATAGTGATTTTCTTTTACATCATGTATATCCTTTTGATGTTCTCTTTTGGCCTTACAGGAGAATAGCGCACACATTGTAAATGCCCATGTGGCATAGTTTTTTTAATTTCTTTTTGGGCCTTTTGGTGCCCATATTTTGTATCATTTTTTTATTATTTAATACAAAATGTACACCATTCCCAAAAAAAAAAACTAAGTTGTTAGTAATAATTATGGATCAATATTCAAAATCATAGAGCATAAATAGTTACAATGTCATTATAAAATCTACCCCTTGCATAATATTTTCATATCACATAAAATTTTAATTCATTTTTTCATTTTAGCCAAATTAATTTAGCTCTACAAAATTGTCCTTGTCTACATTCTTGTTCATTTGTGAATTTTAGCAAACTTGTAGCAATGCAAAAATTCTTTGATATATTTCCATCTTTTGTATCGAACTGATTTGTACCAATATGTCTACAACACATAAATAATGCTTTTATTTTTTTTTCGTCCAAAATGAATTCTTCAATTACCTTGCAAGCCATGACCCCTGAAGAGATGGGTTTTTATTGTACTAGTTAAGCTGGAGCATGCATCAAATCCAACAAGTGTACAGTTCTATAGGTTTCTTCAAAAAATTTGCCTACTTTTGGGCCATCAAAGGCATTCAACAAGCTAGGTCAACAACCGTAATAGTTAGGATAAGGCTATTGAAGATGAAAAAAAGAATGTAAAATTCCATCTAAATTCAGCTATATAATATATAAGTTAGATCTTAAGGCATGCATATCATTAGTTTCCCTTCAAAGGACTGAAAGTCCACAGGCATTTATTTTGAGCCTATTGCATTTCCAAAGGAATATAAAATCCCCAACCATAGAAGCAATCTGACAACCAAATTTCCTTTATTATTTTCCATATCTTTAATCAAAACTACAGCCTAATCAAGATTGCAAGCCAAAGAGAAAATTACATTAGATTCTCCATTTGCAAGCCTTTCCAAAGAAGAAAGTCATCCAAAATTACTGATTACGTAAAAGGGAGAATGCAATATCTGACTTAAACTGAGAATTCTAGATCTGGAGTAAAAAAAAGTTTTAAGTTTAAAACATCAATAAAGAAGATCTCAACTAAGATTTACCATAGTGCTTCCATACCTTAAATTCAAGCAGTATTGACCAATTTCACAAAATATGTAAGAGGAAATGTGATAGCATTTAAGTAACACAAGTTCCACTAGGTGTTCTTTTGTAAAAATGCTGACCGAAGAGTCATCCAACTGACGACAATCCAGAGTTAGGCTCCGGAGACCAAAACTATCACTCAAAATTCTATTTAAGATCTGCATCGTAGGAGTAAATCCCTGGAATATCCAGGCTAAAATCAGAATTGAAAAATAAGCAAGGTACAATAGGATGCTTTGGCATGAAACATACAATAGGATGCCTCAGCATGAAACATACTTCCATGATCATATAATTGATGAATTTTAAATAGTCTACATGACAAAAAAAGGATAGCATATCAATTGTGATACACTGAAATACATACTTTAAGTAGCAAGATACATGCTTGCTTTAGAAACTAAAAATTAAACAAAAGAACAATCGAACAAGATTGTAACCCAAATTTCTATAGTGTTTACTATTTCAACATCTCGCTAATGGATGAACAGGTTGTTTCAATAACCAGAACATCGCAGCGAACATCGCAGCGAAATCTCAAAACATCAATTCGGACCAAGGTAAATTTCAACGTGATTCCTATTAAAAAATAATCTTACGCCAATGATATAGGACAAAATCAGCAAACATGCCAATATGTCTTATTTGGATTTGGCATCCATTATAAGATTATTTCTGTAGTAAGAATGTAAACAAGTGTTTCTATATAGAGTATCCTCTCACACAAGACCTGAAAATTTTGAATGATTTTTGGTTTAAAATTTTATTTGTACTTAAATTACTTTCCATACAGTATCATGTTATTATTTTATCACATGTTAAGTCCTACATAAACAGAAGAATTGTCAGGATTTTGCAATATTTGAATAACAACACAAAACCTTTATCCTACTAAGTGGGGGGGGCACATGAATCTTTTTCTCCATTGTGTCCTATTTAGTGTCATATTTTCATTTAATTCTAATAAATTAAGAGCATTTTTTATACAATATGCCCAAGTCTTTCTAGGTTTACCTCTGCTTTTCTTAACATAAGTTGAATCTAAAACATTTACTCTCCTAATCGGATCAGATCATCAGATGGTCGATGTTTAATGTGACCAAACCATCTAAGACGACTCTCTCTAATTTTGTCCTTCACTGGAGCTACACCGACCCTATCACAGATATATTCATTTCATATTTTATCTCTAAGTGTAAAGTCACTCATCCACCTAATCATTCTCATCTCGGAAACAGTTAACTTAGTTTTATGCTTCTCTTTTAAAGGCCAACATTCAGCGCCATAGAGCATTGCAGGTCTCACTGTCATCCTATAAATTTTTTCTTTCAGTCTAAGTGGTACTTTCTTATCACACAATAGGCCCGAAACATTTCTCCACTTCAACCAACCAACATGAATTCTACTAATAACATCCCCATCTATATCACCATCACATTGAACAATAGACCCGAGATATCTAAAGCGTTCACACCTTTTAATAATTTGATCACCCATAGTTACATTTATGTCACTAGAGCTACTACTACTAAAATTACATTCCATGTATTCAGTTTTAGTTCTACTCAAACGAAGGTCTTTTGACTCCAATGTAGACCTTCATAATTCAAGTTTTTCATGAGTTTTCTCTTGTCTACTATCCACGAGAATGATATCATCGGCAAAAAGCATACACCAAGGTATACCAAGGTACATTACACCAAGGTACATCTTCTTGTAAATGTCCAATAAGACCATCCATAACTAAAACAAAAAGATATGGGCTTAAAGCCGATTCCTAATATAATCCAACAGAAATAGGAAAATATTGGCCAATCCTCCTTCTATTCGAACAAAAGTAACAACTCTAGTATACATATCTTTAACGACTTGAATATAAGCCATATCTCCAAAGGATATCTCTTGGAACCTTATCGTAAGCTTTTTCTAAATCAATAAAAATCATATGTAGATCTGTCTTAATATCTCTGAACTTCTTCATCAAACCTCTCAATAAATGTATAGCTTTCATGGTAGACATGCCCGTCATAAATCCAAACTGATTATAAGAAAACTTTGTAATATGTCTTAACCTATGTTAAATTACCCTCTCCCATAATTTTAAAGTATGACGTCAACTTAATTCCTCTATAATTTGCACACTCTTGTGCATTCCCTTTATTCTTAAAAATGATGACCAAAATACTCTTCCTCCACTCCTCAAGCTTCTTCTTAGTTTTTAAAAGAATATTTATTATGCTCAAATAATCATATTTTATTTGAGGTTATTATTTAATCTTTGAAAATTAATTTTTGTCTATATTAAAGTGAAGGTAGCACTCAAAAGAGCATGAGCATCCATGGTAATGATAACCATAACATGGATGTGTCGACTCTAATTAATTATGCTTATTTAGTCATATTTTTTTTATTAATTTGAAAGAGAGCAATAGTGTTTTCTGAAATTTTTGTTTTTTTTTAATTTTGTATCCAATCTTAACCTCAGCAAAACATGTGACAACTAAAAATGATTAATGAATGGTCATATAATAAATATTCCTTTCATAGTTAATAATATTTACTTTTCTTCTATCATTATAAATTTTCTTGAAGCTTAGGTATATGATATTATGCTTCATATTTTGATGTATTTAATAGAAATTGCTCAAAATTAAATATTTTAAACAAAAATTTTATAAAACAAAATAATATATTCATAATATATTATGTCATACTTTTTGTAGTAATGTCACCTTGTTGTGTCTTTTCCACATATGTGCTTCATAGGTTCCTCATATTTTTGCTTTTCACCAAATGTCATGAGTTTCTAACCCACATTAATGATTTAATTTGTCATCTATGCTAATGTTCAACTCTAAAGCCTCCAAATTATCGACAAAAAAATAAGTCATTAATAGCTCTGTTAAACACTCACGATGACTATCAACTAAGGGTGTCAAATTTTGACACAGCACGCCAACTCGACTCATTTGACACAACATGCCAACTCAACTCAAACCTGACTCGAAAATTTTGGATTCAGGTTGACTTGAATAATTTTCATGCTAGGTTCGGGTTAAAAAATTCTAACATGTTTAATTTTTCGGATCAGATTTGAGTTGACCCACCAACCATAAATTGACTTGAAATTGACTCACAAACCAAGAATTGGCCTAGATTGACTCCAAATTGACAAAAAATTATCCCAAAATAATTATTATTCCTTATGTTAAATGTGTCGGGTTCAGATTGACAAGATGAATGCAGGTCTGGTTCGGGTTGAACTTTTTGGCTTGTTTAATACTCGGGTCAGATTCGGGTTTAGTAATTTCAAGTCAGGTCAATTTTAAGTCAAACCCAAACCATACCCAAGAACTCGATTTGACACCTATAATCAACCCACTTCGTGAACAATTAAATAGACAGAGCATGTCCACTTCTAAGACTACCTAGAGGTGTACATGAGCATGTTCCAACCAAGATTTTGATAAGCAGGGCAAACATTAAACTAGAAGTTTAAGTTTCAACCATTCAACAACAGTTGAATCAGTAGTTGAAACAGATGATGTAAAAAAATATCAAAGTTATTGTTATATAATTTAAATAATAAAATAATGATAACACTCACGATGACTATCAACTAAGGGTGCCAAAGTTTGACACAACATGCCAACTCGACTCGAACCCGACTCGAAAATTTTGGATTCGGGTTGACTTGAATAATTTTCATGATAGGTTCGGGTTAAAAAACTCTAACATGTTTAATTTTTCGGGTCAGGTTTGAGTGGTCCCGCCAACCATAAATTGACTTGAAATTAACTCACAAACTAAAAATTGGCCCTAGATTGACTCGAAATTGACACAATATTGACCCAAAATAATTATTATTCCTTATGTTAAATGTGTCGAGTTCAGATTGACAGGTTGAATGCAGGTCGGGTTCGGGTTGAACTTTTTGGCTTGTTTAATACTCGGGTCAGATTCGAGTTTAGTAAATTCAGGTCGGGTCAATTTTAGGTCAAACCCAAACCATACCCACGAACTCGATTTGACACCTATTATCAACCCACTTCGTGAACAATTAAATAGACAGAGCATGTCCACTTCTAAGACTACCTAGAGATGTACATGAGCATGTTCCAACCAAGATTTTGATAAGTAGGGCAAACATTAAACTAGAAGTTTAAGTTTCAACCATTCAACAGCAGTTGAATCAATAGTTGAAACAGATGATGTAAAAAAATATTAAAGTTATTGTTATGTAATTTAAATAATATAATAATGATAACACTCACGATGACTATCAACTAAGGGTGTCAAAATTTGACACAACATGCCAACTCAACTCAAACCTGACTCGAAAATTTTGAATTCAGGTTGACTTGAATAATTTTCATGCTAGGTTCGGGTTAAAAAATTCTAACATGTTTAATTTTTCGGATCAGATTTGAGTTGACCCACCAACCATAAATTGACTTGAAATTGACTCACAAACCAAGAATTGGCCTAGATTGACTCCAAATTGACAAAAAATTATCCCAAAATAATTATTATTCCTTATGTTAAACGTGTCGGGTTCAGATTGACATGTTGAATGCAAGTCGAGTTCGGGTTGAACTTTTTGGCTTGTTTAATATTCGGGTCAATTTCGGGTTTAGTAATTTCAAGTCATGTCAATTTTAGGTCAAACCCAAACTATACCCAAGAACTCGATTTGACACCTATTATCACCCCACTTCGTGAACAATTAAAAACACAGAGCATGTCCACTTCTAAGACTACCTAGAGATGTAGATGAGCATGTTCCAACATAGATTTTGATAAGCAGGGCAGACATTAAACTAGAAGTTTAAGTTTCAACCATTCAACAGCAGTTGAATCAATAGTTAAAACAGATGATGTAAAAAAAATATCAAAGTTATTGTTATGTAATTTAAATAATATAATAATGATACAATAAAAATATTTTCACTAATTTAATATATAATATTTAAATTCACAATACTTCACACTTGAATTTTTTGAATAGTATTCTAAATTTAAAATTTTAAAAACTGCTCTTTTAATTATTTTATCTATTTTTAATCAAATTTTATTATTTCTAGCAATCCAATCCGAATCAAAAAGCAAAAAATTGATCAATATTAAAACAAGACGATTGATTAAAACTCGAATAAGTTCACCGATTTAACCACCAATTCTAATTGATTTTGTGCGAAAGTGATTTTTGAACTTAGTCGAACTGACAAAAAGACTCGTCCACGCTTGAATTGGTTGGTCCGGCCACTCCAATACAATTTTTAAAACCAAGGTCCCAACATCATTGCCCCATGAACAACTACTCATCAAGGCTGCCAGGAAAAGTATTTCACAACCCAAAGGAGCTATTGCAAAACATGATTATTTGATATGTCATTACTTGTCTTACTTAGACTTGACATAATGGCAATATCAGCCCCTACCATAATAGGATTATTTATATACAAAAATTTCATTTCATTAAAGACCTAACAATTATGAAACATCATTAGTTTAATATTTTGATCGTACTAATATTACTTTTCATGAGTTCGTTTTCTTTTGTTATTTCATGAAATATCCAATCCTCTTATAAGTAGACGAAGCATGTAAGAGTTCTATAATCTAATGAATATTAAAGAAAATTACAAAAAAGCTTGATTCTCTGTCACATTGCTTCTCTTTCTCGGTGGTTAAATTCACCCCATCCCTTTCGTTTCTTCCCTAATCAGAGCCATTCCACCTAAATGTTCACTGCTAGCAAAGCAGAGTACAAATTTTCACATTATTTCAAAAATAAAAAAACAAATACAAATCTTGAAGTCGCAGGTCAAATGAAGGAAACTTGCAGCGCCAAAAAGACAACAATCTAGCGAAGGACGAATTTTCACTTAATTGAAACGAATGCTGAAAATACGCCCATCTGAAGATTAATAAGTTGAACTTCCGAGAGAAATAACGATATTGCAAGAGGAAATTAGAAATTTTGGCCGATAGCTCTTGCTGAGAAAAAAAAAACCTAAAAGGTTAAAAAAGTTAAGATTTAATCATCCCTAACAAGTAACAACCGGAAGCTTTCACCAGATCTGTTACAGAAAAACAGAAGATAGGTAAAATCGCTTACAGAGAGGTCGAGATTAGGGATAGATGAAAGGACTTGAGAAACCGAAGAACGAAGAGCTCTACAAACAGGAGCTGTAGAACAGAGAGATTCCACGTCAAGCATCGAAAGAATATCGAGCAATAGAACCTGCGGCAGCCTCTCTGTTAGCTCGCCGCCACTGATTCGTTCCATGACCTTGTTCTCCACTGTCTCCTCAGTGAGCTATTCGAGTGCGGGATTGCGGACAGGCAGAGCGAAGGTATTTTAAGTGTGGTTGCCCGCCTATTTAAAGAGCTCTTGTAAGAATTGTAACGACGCTTTAAAACTTAATACTTTATTAATACATATTAAACTCCTGTATATACTGGTGATGGTCATTTTTTTGTGTGTATCTTAAGAAAAAATATTATATTCGGAGGAGAACGGACTTACCTGTGTGTCTAGACTCCAATTAAATATTATCACATGTATCTGAATGGTCATCAAAAAAATAATGAAAACGAGCTTATTGTGGTGTTATTGTAAAATAACTTTAATAATACCACAATAACACAGCAATATCACTGGTAAACTGCGCCAATAACCCCGTCCAGAGGACCACTCAAATAACAATGCAATTTCGTTTCAATAACCCCGCAAAAAAAGTCCAATAATACCTCAATAACGTCGTGATCAGCACCAATACACCGCCCGGATGATCATACAAATAACATCGCGTTTCCACTTTAATAACTCCAAAAGACAACTCCAATAATACCACAAAAATACTGCGGTGTTATTGAGGTGTCATTAGCGTATTTTGATCATTTTTTAGGTGTGTCCAATCAGATACACATAGCAAGATTTTATTAGAGTCCAAACGTAAAGTTATGTCTAGTCTTCGTATGTAATATTTTTTCGTGTCTTAAAGGCTGATTTTTATATATTTTGTCATGCGGTGTTTTTTTTTTCTTCGGAAGGTTTATGTACATTCCATTCTTGTATACATAATTTATTTTTTAAAAATAAAATTAATACGTGCTAGAAAATTAAAGGCAGTTGAGCAGATTGTCGTCTTACTATGGTACGAAAATTCAACACATACTCAGAAAAGAGAAAAACAACTTGTAATTACACCAAAAATTTTTATGTAGAAAACCCATAAAGGGAAAAAAACATGGAGTTTGTCCGAGCTAAAGAGTTTCACTACAAATCATGATTACAATTGCAATCACTTCTCCCACATGCAAGAAATGGTTAGATGATCTCATGAGTTATAAAGACGTGTGGATAAACTTTTTGCAAGGAATGCGCAGCAATCGATAGCAATTGATAGCAATCGATGAAGTTGGACGACAGTTTGTGGTTGCCAACGGCGGTCGACAGTTTGTGGTCAACGACAGTTTGTGGTTGTCAACGGCGGTCGATGAAGCTGGACGACAGTCGACGGTGATAAGTAGTCGGTGATGATCGACGATTAGGGGTGTAAACGAGCCGAACACCAGCGAGACCAAACTCAGCTCCTGTTCGGATGGTTAAAAATACAATTGTTTTTGTTCGACCAATTTATATTTTGAACAAAAAAAATGTGTTTGTGGTCGGCTCACTTGCTTAGCGAGCCGAACACAAGCTGTCAACAAATAAAAATAATTTTGACAACCCTCATCATGTTGTCGTAGGATATTAAGGGTTGGGGTGAGATTTCAATCTTACTATTTATATTAAAATATCATTTTACTATAATTTAATATATTTTATTCTATTTTTTAATTAATAATTTTAATTGATTATAAATATTTTTAGCTCATGTCTTTTAGCATATTTAATTTCTTTTACTTTTTACACTTATTTTTGAATGGAATTGCAATTTAAAGAAAAATATATCATTTTTTTTTTATTTTGTCGCCGGTATAACAAGTAGGACAATTGGAGAGAAATTGAATGTAAACGGAGTCAATTAGAGCAAATGGGCATGCCAGCAGACTGGTGCCTGGGTAATGGCTAGAAGATGCCTCCTAGCTCCTTGGCACCACAGACTCATGCCTAGGCATCGGTGTCCTCTCAGCAAATCGAGAAGACGGTGCTTAGACGCCGCAGACTGGGGTCTAGGAGCCAGAATTGTTCGAGGTGGTTTTAGCACGCCTCAGAGAGTTATTTGAAGAATCTCGACAATTGAGAAGACACTTTTTGGCATTTCAAAGTCTTGGAATTATCTAGGAACGCCAAGTGGTCATAGATAGGAGTGGGATTGGGGAGACACTTTTTAGTATTTCAAAGTTCTGGAATTCTCTGGGAACACCAAGAAGTCGTAGATAGAAGTAGGGATTGTAGATTTATACATTTTCTTGAGAGATTGGAGAGGAGATTTGAGGGAATTCTGAAAGAGAATTTTATCAGCATTGCGAGCAGTAGGAGGCTTTCTTAGAGGGATTTTCATCTATTTTTCATAGAGGAAAATCTAAATATTATGTTCTTTATTGTCTTGCACTTAATGTAAACACTATTTAGTAGATTTATTTGACTTAATGAAGTTGTCTGTTGTGTTAAATATGCTTTTTGAGTAGAAACTTTGCACTTTTCTCTCGTGATAATTAAGTAGAATATGTAAGAATTTGATTACTATAGAATTGATATTTTAGTTTTAATGTGATGGTTTTTACATCGTGCTTAATTTACTTGTCAATTTGATCAATTGATATGTTAAAATCTGTTGTGGATCTATAATGACTCGAGAGAGTTGTGACTTTAACAACTTGGAGAAACCACATTGCACTAGCGGATGAAGTAAAAGTAGTCCATAAAGTAATGCAAACAGATAGAGAAATAGATTTTGATGGGCTCAAATTGGAGTTTCTAGGGTGACGGGCAAAAACACTAACCAAGTTTGAACCAAACTTCTTTATGCACTCCACATAGTGTAAATAAAATGCTTGCTCCTATTTTTCACTACAAAAACAACAATTCTTAGTGATCGAACCTACAATCTACTTAGTCAATCATGAGAGAAAAGTCACTTTATCAATCTAAAATTTCACCAAACCAATTGGTCTATATACATTTAATTTAGACTTAGCATTGTAGCATATGAGTAGTTATTAGAAAATCATTATTTATCAACCTTCCATACTAAGACCTGAAAGTAGTAGACTAGGTCTACCTCACTTTCTTGTGGGATTGACATTCTAGACTAATTTAAGCCCTATATTATTAAAATGATATGTATACTTGCATGAGAAATCCCAGTGAGTAATATTACCTAATTTTACAAACTCAATTAATTTGCTAGGGAGCGGATCAAATCTCTAGTGTCATTACTAGGACTTACATAATTGTGACACTCGATTGGAGCAGATCAGTAGCCTTTATATATATATATATATATATATAAGAAGGACAAATGAGTCGAACACGTACGAACCAAACACAAACCGAAAACGAATTGAGACAAGCCAAAATGAGTCGAATAAGAACGAACAAATCTTTGTTTGTGTTCAACTCGTTTATATATCGAGCACAAAAAAAAATTGTCCGTGTTCGGCTCGTTAACTTAGTGAACAAATCGAACATGAATTTCATAACTAGTGAAACAAAAACTATTCATGAATAATGAGTTATTTTTACGGCCTTATCAACGATGACAAACGGTGGTAAAAAACGAAAGAAGTGCTCGACGATGGTCACCGATTGTCAACGACGGCCAGCGGTGGTCGATTGCGGTAGAAGTGCTCGACGACGTTCTGTGGTTGTCAACATTGATTGGCAGTGGTCGATGGTGGTTGATGGTGGCAACAGCAGTGATGGTATTCAACTCATTCTCAAAACTTCAAGCTCTCCACCGACTTCAAGTTCTCTTTTCCCTCACTTTGATTCGACAGCTCAGATAACTTCCCTCAATCAGATGACATTTGATGATCCTTTAAGTACCTAAATGACATGGAAATTAAGCGATCTTGAGCTAATTGGATTCATCTTATCGAGACGCTCGATTCAACTATAAGCTTGTTAAATTCAACATTCATTTGACCTTACAAATATGTCAACAAAATTTCAAAAGTTGTTTAATGACTTGATCTAAACTTGATTTGACTCGAACTAAACTGCTTTTTGTACCATTGGGTTTGTTTTTTCGAGTTGGTCAGTTTGACTGTAAGTTTGTTGAACTAATTTCTGGAAGACTTTCAATCAAAATTTGAACTTTTTTGTTCGAAAGATTGCTTCAAGATCCTTATTATGTCTCAAGAATTGTGTTGGATTTTGGAAATTCATTCATAGTGTATCATAAATAATGATATTTTTATATAATATTTGATTGGTATAACCATAAAAAACACAATAAGGTTGTTAAATATAAAATATATAAAAATTTAGTGACATGTATGTAATTAAACTTAATCAAAATAATTATTTACTACATTTTAAATACAATTACATAAATTTTAAAATTATTAAAGACTAATTTATTAATTTAATTTGAATTAAAAAAATTACGTTGAAGAATAAATTTTAAACTTGAATTAATTTACATATATAAACAATTATTACTGATTAAACTTTTAAATTTGAAATATTATAAATTGACAAGTTTTAAATTAAAATATACCATTGATATTTATTAAACTTTTTCCGTTTTTGAAAAGTAAATTTAACGTTTTGGCGGCCAGTCCGACGATTACCGTCCAACATGGCAAAGATGCAAAAGTTTTTTTTTTTTTTTTCATTTGCACTTTTTTTTTTCCCGAAGGTTTAGGCATCGAAATCCAGACTTCGCACACAAATGAAAAAAATATTATGTCTGGAGTACGCATCCAAGAACTCTAATAGTACAACACCATTTCTAAAATGGTGGGACAAAGTTTCGTGAATAAAATATATATATATATATATGAAAAAGTAATTTTTTCATGCAAATTGACCCGAAGACCGCCGGTTGTATAAAGAAAAAACCACCATAATGCCGAGAACAATACTGGTGATATTTTGATGGCATTATTGTGGTATTCTGGTGATATTCTGGTGGTATTCTTATATTTGGTGTTCATCTGATGACATTTTAGTAATATTATGGTGGATCATTGTGGTATTTTAGTGGTATTTTGGTGATATTCTAATGACATTCTGGTGATATTCTCGGGGTATTTTATTGGTATTTTGTTGGTATTATGGTGGTATTGTGGTGATATTATGATGTTATTCTTGTGATATTCATGTGGTATTTTTGTGTTATTTTTTTGGTATTCTAGTAGTATTCCGATGACATTCTGGTGG